AAATGGCCGCATTGGATATGAATAAAAATTAATAATAGCATAATAATGTTGTTAAGGTATTAAGTTTGTGAGTTATAATTTAAAATTTCGCTCTACTGAATCGTATGGCTAATTTAATCATTGACGTAGAATTATTCTAGTGACTATTTTAATAGTTTCATAGGTAGTTTGTCCATTAATTCTTAATTTTTTAAGTGATTTCAATTAGTCTGTTTTTATATATGTTTGTTACGTGATATCTTCGCCAACTCTGAAGCTATTCGATAATTGTTTCTCCATTCAATAGTATTTAATCTCATATTAATCTCGTATTAATTCTGCGACATTTTAAAGAACAATTTTTCTTTTCCAAGAAATATACACTTTTGCTCATACATATGTGTACGCAAACAATATTTTTTAACTGTGACATAGCAATGAAACTCATTTTCATCGATTTCTTTGTGCAAAAAAAACGAGTGACGCAGATGATGTAGGGATGAACTAGGATAATAAAATCTTAAATAGTATTACATTTTTTCACATGGTGATATTGTCACTGTTTACATTTTAAAGGAAAAACATATTATTTCCCATTATAATAGCTTTATATAAGTTTCTTTTAAAATAAAACTGTTTAATTGATCATCAATACATACCAATGTCAACTAGTCATAGGTATAATGAAATTAATTGACCGCTTATCGGCGTACGGCGCCTACAGCACGATTTAATGTGTTGCTAATTGAAATCAACTAGATTAAGCATTTAAACGGTATAAATATTTAGATTTTGAGCAGAATGACTTAATTACAACTTGGAAACAGTTTATTACATGCATAAAATTTTTAAATGTAAATTTTAAAATGGTAGCAACAAGGAACTTTTATATTTATTTCTATATTAGATTCTGATACAATAATAGAACAACTTATATAGCATACTATCGACCCGCCCCGGCTTCGCACGGGTGCACATTACATATCATCATATTAGAAACCTCTAAAATTATCAATGTTTCTTTAATATATTATGCATGTATTATACATATAAACCTTCCTCTTAAATCACTCTATCTATTTAAAAAAACCGTTTCAAAATCCGTTGCGTAGTTTTAAAGATTTAAACATACATATGGACAGACAGACAGCGACAGCGACTTTGTTTTATATTATACTATGTAGTGATGAAGTAGAGTACAGATTATAGCTACATATTTGCACGTTGCACCGTTAATTATATTTGCTGTTATTCCTGTCTAAGGTGAACTGGCAGATAACAACATATGGTGTTTATTAAGTATATTATGGTGGGTATTAAGTCCGCCGTTTACGTTGTCTAGGTGTATTAAAGTTCAATAAATAAATAAATATTTACAATCTGCATCCTTATGTAATAGTAGAGCCATTGACTTATTTAAGATTATTTTCCAGTGGGGAATTTAACACTTTAAGAAAAGCGTATATTTTAAGACATATCTATCCCTCTGGTTGAAAACTCCGCTCCTGATCCTGATGTGAACACCAGACTTTTCTTGTGTGGGAATGGGGATTCCCACACAAGAATACGCATATGATCACTACTAATCTCTACTAAATCACTACCAAAGCCTCATAATCATATTATGTAAAAAATATTAAAAGAAAATGCATGTATAAGAAAAGGTCTATAGGCGACGGTTACCACTTTTCATCAGGTGGGCCGTCAGCTTGTTTGTCATTCTAAGTGGTATAAAAAAAATTAGGGTTTAAGGCAATTTACTATAAAATTTGAAATGAAAGGTGGTTAACCTTTAAAGACATCTATTCATTACAATTTAAGGTATAAAATGTGATCCAAGTGTAGTTATCCTCCGTGAGTAAATTATAATTGCATAGTGGTGGAAATAAATATTAAAACAGAAAAGCATAAAACATTTTAGAAAAAATGCTAAAATATATCTTACCGATTCAATAAAACATTGTGACATAAACATTTATGATTGACATTGTGACATAAACATTTATGAAAAAAACTGCAAAATATCTAGATATCGAAATCAGTATGACTTCGATATCTAGATATTTTAAAGTTTTTTTTTAATCGATGGAAATGAAATGGTAACCCCGGCTGTGCTATTGGGCAACTCAAATATCAAAATATCGAACTTTACAATCATACAGAATTGTATAGCATAAATATAAATATTACTTATCACTTGTTTAATACTGAACTACACTTTGATAAAATTTTATTTCACCATCATCATATCAGCTTTTAACTGGCGACTACTGAATATAAGCCTCCTCCTTGGGATGTTTTGCTGGTAGTTGCCACGCGTGGCAGGCGTATAGGCAACCGCAGTTAGGCTTGAGAGAGAGAAAGCTTGAAGAGATGTTTTGAGAGGAACACTGCCGCCCATCGCTGGTCCCCCATTAGTCGCCTCTTATGTCTTAGGCAGAAAAGGAAGGGGTGGCCTATTTTATGCCAGGACAAGATTTTATTTATTTCCTTTTTATTTATTGAAGTGATACAAAAATCTTCACGCTAAGCAATCTCTTTTAGAAAACTATACTATCTCTTAGCTTACGTCAACGTGTTTATTGCTATACCTATAATACAAAGTATAGTATGAATGAATACTACGAATAGGTACAATATGTCTGTACTGGCATTATAGCAGAACCGCTGCAGCCACTGCAAAATTTGGCTGAGGACAGATAGTCCGCTGCTCTGCGCACGCGCTGGCAGACGTTACACAACACGGCCTGCCTTATATTCTAATTAAAACCATAATCTTTTTTTTTCTATATTTAACATATTTAGTAAAGGATCTAGGTACTTACAAGAGGTTAGATATAACTTAAAAAAGTAAACCTATAATATAAAACTTACTTAAAAATTTACATTCTATTACAGAATTGTTACCAGATAAAATCTTATAAAATGCGATAAGTTTCGTTTGACATTTATAACATTAAATTAAGTTTAATTATGCAATTTTATTTTGTGATTTACAGGTCAAAACCATAAACAGTTTCAAGTCGGCTCTATTTAAACATGCCCTTTATAATGCATTAACATTTAAACATGAATAATTTAAACTCATGGTAATAACGCAACTCTGTGACAGCTCCTGGATACTTACGTCTCTCTGACCTTTTGCCCACTCATAAATATTAATCAAATGTGCGATTATCCAATCTTAAATATATTCCTATAGGTACCAACAGGCGGCGTAAGAATATGTCGCCTATTCCTAACTGAAAATTTAACTCTTGTAACTCGTAATGTACTACATTGAAATCAATATATAAAATAGAGTATTCGCTTTCTACGTAAAAAAACCGGTCAGATGCGAGATGAACTCACGCGTCGAGGGTTCCGGATATGAGAAAAAATTGTCTTTTATGCATTTCTCATACGAAATAAACACCTAATCTAATAATAAAAATCAGCTTTAAAACGTACAAATATAAATAAATAATAAACATAATAATATAGTATATATACTCTTTTATATGATATTCCACATTATATGCCACATAGATGTAGGTCAATTTTGAAATTTTGAGTACCTCTTTTGAACCTCCTAAAATATTTTTTCAATTATTTCTATTGCAATATGTGCGGGCCAATGAACTATAAAGCTATTCCAAATTTCGAACTGATAGCATTAGTAGTTGCTGATATTTGGCGCTGTGACAAAAGGAAGAACGGATGGAAGAAGTCGCAACATGAGGGTTCCTCTGTACCTTTTTGGTAAGGAAACCTAAAAAACATTGTGTTCGAAAAATAAAGCACAAACTGTAATGTGTATGATAATGTAGTGTGCGCTTAAAGCTAAAAAATTATAGTAACAAATTAATCTGCTAATAAATTAATTCGAAAGGCATTATTAATCATCTGTATGTTATAATGTATTTGTAAATATTTTGTCTGATATTTGCATTTTTTACACAAAAAAGTCACGTGATTACGTGAGTTATCTTGAAAAGATAAATCAGAATTCAATGAGATCGGTGATATCAGAGAGTGGCATATGTCAATCAAGGCAGCATGTCATTGTCCAGTGGCGGGTGGCAGGCAGTAGCCAGTTTGGCATGAGGTGAGTGTGATAGTGGTACAGCGAGAGCGGGCCGCGGGCCGCGATGAGGCGCCCCTGCCACGTGGGTGGGCGCCGCGTGTGGCCGCACGCTGGGTGGCCTACTACCGCTCGCACGCATGCACACATATCCAACACACCAACACAAGCTCACGACGCGCAAATAAACACAATAATCAACTAGCGATACTTTACTCCGTCACCGGATAGAGCAATCGCTCGGGGAGATTATTGCAGGAATCGCGGCGTGTGACACGCGCCACGGACGCCGCCGCCTGCGCACCTCCGTCCACGACCGCGGCATCGTCTCGCCTCGCTCTGCTCTTGGTGGACACGAAGTACTCACACCAACTACCCATTTCACTGCACCGTAATTACGTACGGCCGACGACGCGCCGCTAATTTTCTAATCCGATTCTGCTTAGAATTAATTTACGACCATACCGAGAATCGCAGCCAGTATTTCCAATGTCGAAGCCCACAATCATGAATAAATATAGGAGCGGCTATAATATAAACCTGTTGAAATAAACGCAACGACAAAATTATACATTTATCTGTCAAGACAAAAGTTCATTATAAATTTTATACCAGTCGTCAGCTACATTGTATCTTAATGGAAACAAAAGAGTAATAAGAATTTATACTGTTTATAGAAATTAACAAAAATATGCTTTTATTATATTAAATAATCTTTCTCAAATTACTAAAAAAATAAATAGATGATAGATAATAGATGGGGAAGATGGATTGTGACCAATTGGTTGTGACTATGATTCTGACTCAGATGGTAACCCCGTACTGGAATACGTATTATAGAACAACCACCTCTCTCCACTAGATGCATCTATGTATTTCAGACTTCTAATCTATTATAGAGAATCAGTAGATACAGATGGCTAAGATCACATATCATAGCAGTCTGTGGGAGAGGCTTAACTTGAAGAAGAAAAAATTAGCAATTAAAATAATGACAATAAAAAAGAAAAAAATTGTAAATAATTTTCTATATAATACAAAATACATAGGTATTTAATGTAATGTTACGATAATGATTTTAAAAATAAACCACAAGCAGTATGTACTTGTTCCTACAGCACTACTCGTATTTCTGAGGCAGGCCCCCCAAAGCTTATAAAAAACATACAATTCAATCTCAATAGCACAATTCAGGGACAAATTATTACCTTAATAATAATTTGAAGTAAATAAAAATAATAATGGCGTTCTTGGCTATATTAACTTTTTAATCTCGTTTCCAGATGGAGATTTTTGTGTTAAAGATATGCTAATCTAATTGCTTTAATTCAAACTAAGCATTAACACAATGTTAGAATACCAAATATAAATGAAATGTGGATAACATCTATGATAATATTAAAGTTTACCACAGCAGAAGTTGTAACGAGACAAAATAGATGAACTGTAGTCTTGTCCAGCTTTTTTCTGCGTCACAAATCCAGTTATACTAATTATTCCATGAGAACATTGCACGCTATAGGTACTTACTATTGGAATACAAATTAACTTGGTAAGCAATTCAATTGTAATCATGCATAATAATGAGTAAGCAATAGTCTTTTTGAAGCGTGTTGCTCGAGAATTTTCAATTTTCATATGGCTATTGTTCAAAATGGTGTTTTATAGCACAGTAGCCTCGCACTGCGACGGAACAAAAATACCGCTATAGGAGGTGAAATAGTTGTGTACGAGCAACATTCACGCTGCAATTTTGTCGTTCGATCTCACGTCGCATTCATATTGCTAGTAAAATGTTTCTAGGACTCATTAACTGTCAAGGTTTCAGGAATTGACCCGCACCTGATATTATATAATAAAACAAAAGAACCTTTGAACCGACGACTATTTGGTCAAATCCTCTCTACAAACTGACTTTCGATTTTATATATTTATTTATTTAATAAGGTTCACCTAGAAGTTTTACATTTTACATGCTACTTAATCAATAACACAAAAAAATTATTTTAATAAACGTCATCTTTTAGGATAGTTTTATACTAATTTGTATAATTGTACTGGTTTTTGTTCCAAAATACTTATTAAGCGGTGACAGATCAGGGGACAAAGCTAGACTGCAGCCCGGATCCTGAAATCAAATGTCAGTCTGTGTCTTTTATTTCATAACAATTTACATTGTGTCGAAAATATAAAGTAGGACTTACATATTAGTGCAGTTTCTAACAATATTTCATCCCATTTTAATTATCATTACATCATGTTTTGGAGAACTTGTAAAAGAATCGTTTGGTAAGCCAGGTCTTCGTATACCACGAACTTAGAAATTCTTGACACCAGGGAGCACCACCATTACACAAATATCAGTGGTAATATTTAATTGCTATTTATGTAACATTTCAATCCAATTGTAGTAAGCAACAAATAATCGCTCGTGAAAGTAAATGTATAAACCGGGGTCAAATAATAAAAGCAATACTTGTGTAAGTTCCGTGCCCTCGCCCTTATGGGTCCTTTCGTCAGGCGTCATTAATGGTAATAAGCACAAACAGTAATTCGAACTGCTGGCACACGTATAAGAATCGACATTAAAATTATGTGTATAGCATTTCCTTTCTTCTATGAATCCTACTGTAACTTCAAAAGAAATGCACTTAACATGTATAAATTTAAAATTGTAAAACAAAATTAATACAGCTCTGCGTCTATGTATGAAGAATTAAATATATAATCATAGAATATTTAAATGCTATAGACAAACCGAAAGTGAAATAATAGACCACCAGCACTTCGATTACAAAACTAATAATTCACAACTAAAAAACAGACACTCATAAAAACAATTAAGTCTGACCGCTTTACCATAAAAGAGAGTAACGTGACCAATCTTAGAGCAATTAAGGATTCTAATAGCAGGAAAGGATAGTGAAGAGTGACGCACACGTGAGCTACCCTTACTGAGGCTACACACGTATCTGATGTTTATTCTATGATTCTAACTTCTGAGACTGTTATTATCTATAACTCCTATTTATGATATTATGGCTATAAAGGGAAGTTTATAGGTATAAAAATATTTTGTTATTGTGTAAGCCTAGAATTATATTTTATCCTTGCTTTTAATCTATAGTGTATTAAGTAGATTTTTCTTGAATACTTACTTATTGAGTTACGGCTTTTTTAAAAAAAGAATTATCAACGTCACGATATCTTCATCAATTTCTTAATGACGCAAATCTGCCAATTTTCAACAGTTGTTAGTTACATTGTAATTAAAAGTAAAATACAGTTTATTAATTAACAAATTCCATTCATAAAACTAGCGTTAGTATTCATGAAAAATCCTATAAAAAACAGTGCAAGGCATGTAATATACCTATTTTTTATAGTACCGTTAGTACATATACAGGTTGTTGCTTTTTCGATATAAAAATATTATTTAAAAAATATATATTTCGAATAATTTTTAAGTTAATAACTTTTTTTTAATGACATTTTTTGAGATCCTATGAATTTTGTTTATACAACACAGGGGGCATGGCAAACGAGCATGCGGCTTACCTGATGGTAAGTGACTACCGCCGCCCAAGATCACCCACAACACCAGCGGCATTGCAGGTGTGCTGCCCGAATGCCGGAATGCCGAAATGAATACTAACACTAGTTTTATGGAATGGACTATATAAATTAACATATATTGTGTCGTTAAATATATATCTGGGAACTTGTAAAGGACGAAAATGGTAAATTTACAGGAAATATGGCAGATAAAAAAATTATAAAGTAATTGAAATGCTACGAAACTTACGGACTTTAAAATAAAACTTAGAAAATTGTAGCCACTATGAATCTTATTTTAATATTCAAACTAAAACAGAAAAAATCGAAAATGGTGAAATAATAAATTCAGAGATACTTACTATTCTTTCTATGACTGAATAAGATCGTCTAGGTTATGGATACAGACAAGTTATCACTAGACAAGACCACACAGACGACTGATTACAAATTAGAAATTGCGTTCGGATTGTGATATGCTTACATCTATAACTAGCTGCGGCTCTTATCACATTAATTTAGACTCAAGGTTAATTATAGATAATATAATAACATATACGTAACATAATTATAAGATGTTTATAATATTTGTAACATAGATACTTTAATATTATAAAGCGATAAGTACTGACTGACTGACCCATTTTTATTGTAACTAGATTGGTGGTTGGAGCTACAATTTACACAGTAGATTTATTCATATATATAAGACGAAAAGAATGGATTTTATGAAACCAATGAAGGGTTTAAACGTTTGAATGAAATCAATGAATGTAGGAGTAGTTTACATTCAGACACTTCGTTGTATCTTCACACTGTCTTTCGGAGTAAGCAGATAGAACCTAATGCCAAAGGCCTTTTCTTTTCCTGGTCATTGTTCGTTGTACTAGGACCTACCTGACATCAAACAACAATCTACACAGCAAAAAATCAAAGCTAAATTTCAAAGGGCTCTTTATTAAATACAATACACAAGGTAGTTGCATCAGATCCATAATTCTATTTCCTACGTGGGTGGTCTGGTTGTCAGTCCGTCGCCGCGTCGTAATCAATTTGTACGCCCTTCGGCTGCGCCGGCGCACCCCCCGACCCTCGCAACATGGCGGCTACATGTATACCTTTCGTCACGCACCCTGTCTGCGCATGTATCTATTATTTTTTCTAACACTCCACCATCAGGTGTAAGATTAGAAACACATCAAGTCTTGACACATTGTGAGAGCTTCATTTAGAAGTAAAATGTATACTCCACATTTATGGGGAAAAATAAATATGTTATGATATTTCTTGGGAAGGCTAGAAAATAATTATTTTTAAGATGCTTTGTAAATGTAGTGCTAGATTCCGAGTATTGACTCATTTCCTAAATTGTTAGGAAATGAACCTTTCTGTTAAATAGCTACGTATTCTGTATTTTACCTCAGATTTTTCTCCCTCTTTGTTTTCTCATAAAAAGATTGAAAAACACACAATAGGGAGGCTTATTGCCTATTGATTTTAATGAGACTGAATAAGAGATTATAAGAAATAAGAAATAAAAAAAAAAAGTATTTTGCCGCCGTTATGGATTTTTTTGAGTTACTCTTTGTCAGTAGACTAACAATACCACCTTCGCAGAATTATGTTTACTTGCAGGTAGGTACTACGTTTCTGTATTAGCCTGAACATAGTTAGTCGTATTTTAATTAACCCGACTGTAAAAGATAAATATGACTTGTATAAGAAAATGATTATCTACTTGATCTTATAATCATTTCATTAAGATGATAATGGACTTTACAAACATTTTTACCGCAAATAAAATTTTCTTTTTTGTTTGGCTCGTCTCTCCAATCCCTAAATTTGTATGAGACAATTCACACATGTTGTGTAAGTATAGGTGTACATGAATAGAAATTTTGTGAGTCATAAATAACTTTGTAAAATCTTTGTAAAAACATGTCCTGTATAATTTAAATCATAGACCACCCACATCGTTACGTATACTGTGCGGTTAAGTTATGGTTAAATTTTGCAAACAATGACATTCCTATGTAAGATGACTCAATTAGGAGAAACGGGATAACATGGCACACAATGGATTGTAAATATTGTACCTTACAACAGATGTCTTCTGAAATCATATTCCAAGTTTAAAATTTACCATCCCACGTGACGTGATGATAACGACGGACTTTTTCATTGTAGATATTTCGGAGTAAAACAAACAGTTACAAGACAGAAATCGAAAGTAAACATCCTATAATCAATCATTAACATGTAATTGTGATAGTACGGTGGCTCTTTGAAAAAAAACTGAGCTTTATGAAAAAGCAGGATGTGGACGGTTCCCAAATGAGTTTTTTGAATTTTTTCTCGTTTCGTCAAGGTGGTTTTGAGCGACTGAACAAACTTAGCCCCGAGCGCGACATCGATAATTCACTCTTCAATCTACGCTTTATCTTTCGAGCTGTGTCCACTGTCTACGTAATGGACGTGAAATAATTTATTGTTATGATCAATGCCCATACTGATGCACATACATATATTAACATGTTAATTGATATTATGCCAAATTAACGCAATATTGTAAATATGATATAAACTTACAAATTTTTTTTTTTATTTATTTGTATAAGATTTGTACACTAACGAAACAAAAAACACTTCGAAATCTTTTTTATTTCAAAATGGATTTATCTCATCTGATGGTTCGTGATAATTCAAGCTTTTTTTATAAATACCACGAGAACGAAGATGATTTCAGAAATACGTATAGAAATATTGAGATTTTAAATTCAAATTTACTCGAGTCTATCGAATTTTAGCCATCACCAAAATAAATAAATACAAGTATTCTATGCCTTCACATTGAGATACAAAGTATATTTGAGATACTTTGAGTACTTGCCTTCATATTGTTACCGTTATTATACCAAATATTGCATTATTTAATAATATACTAGGTTTAATGTAGTAAATTTTTCAAATTAAAAATAACTCTTTTTTAACTTAAATATTCTCAAATGACGATTCTTTGAGAATATTAACTATGTTGGTGCTGTTTTTGCAAATTTTTATAAGCACCGGTAAAAGTAACCAAGCAATCATTTACATTTTTTATATATATTGTACGCTTATATAGCAGGACATGGAGATACTATTTAACTACTGTAATACCTTAATTGACCTATGATCCACAATAAAGACATTTGTATTTGTATTTATTTTTTAATGAATGTTAATGAAATGGATAACGCAAGCGGACTGCCTGCGTTATCAGTATACATTGGCGGAATACCAATGAGAGATGATAGATGATGATGAAGTAGGTCAGTTGACCCATCGTTACGAATTCAACAATAAATCAATCACAATGGTTTCCAAGGGGAATCGCGTGGAGGTCGACCTGATAAGGTACATTGCTAGCAATGGGATTGCTAATCTCCATTATTAACAAATTCTCCCTAAATCATTTAGACTAGATAGCAGTAATACGTATAAAATAATATTTTAATTATAAACAGTGGAAACAGGGTAAAGAGCGCTAAGGCCAGTCATGGAATAACCGTGCTTCCTGAGTTGATATTGTTGGAGCGTAGCGATCACAACGAGATTATTTACATTGATCTGTCTCGGCTACCACACCAGTCGCTCTCCTCCTCGTGAGAATATTGTCCAATCTCCTAACTCAGTTCCCAAGTCTAATTTTACAGATGATTGAATAACAAAAGTGTTTAATTGAAAAATAATCTTTATCGGAATCCAAGATTCCGAACTCATATCAGACGGTATCTTTTAAGCAGATACATAGTTAGAAAAAGATAAAATACTCAAGTATCTCAATTTACATTAATATGACAACTAAGCAATATCATATTATTTATAATAATTTATTTATTTATTCATTAAAATAATTATAACATTATGATTATATTAGTATTATGTGCTATGATAGGTATTATAAAATATAATTGATAAAAAAACATCTTTCATACCAAATTCCGTAAATTAGCTATTAAATATTTTTCTCAATGTAGTAATTTTCTTTTTGCTATTTTATTACATTTATCATACCAGCTGTTAACTGTCCACTTTGTTTTGCCAGTAGTTGCCACACTTGGTAAGTGGGTTGGCAACCGCAGTTAGGAGATGTTTTAAGAGGGACGCTGCTGCCTATCCTTCTACCATTAAGTTCCTTTACGCCTCTTACGACACCCTTTACAGTAAACAATGGGGTGGTCTGTTCTATGCCGGAACCACGTGGCAAATTATAATACATATATTTATAGGTTGTATTAATTAGCAGATATTTTGCATCGATAATGTTCAAGGTGTCATTTCTAATGTTTCAAAGATACAAGGTATAAAAACGATAACTAACAATAGACAACGATATTTATTTATTTAATTTAATGCGTGGCTGTGTAGGTCCCGGTATAGAATAGGCCACCCCTTCCTTTCCTGTGGGTATCATAAAAGGCGACTAAGTGAGGGCGAGGCATAGGCAGCAGCTTCTTTCTTAAAACATCTCTAAAGCCCTGACTGCGGTTGCCAATCCGCCTGCCAAGCGTGGCAACTACTGTCAAAACCCCCCAGGGGGGCAGGTTTATGTTCAGCAGTGGACAGTTAAAGTCTCATATGATAATGATATCGTTGTAAAGAGAGCAAGAATTTTATTTGTCAATTCTAGTTTTAGTTCATTTGCAAAGTCCAGTAGCAAAATTTTGATGATCTTCTCATTTTTTTTTTACTAGATTTTTATGTGCGTAGATCAGTAGTGGTGTCATCGATTTTGAGAAGGTCTGCTTTGTACCAACAGTGTCTGAAAAAAAGTTGTTAGCACAAAGAGTGTTGGACAGTGGCGTGTTTGCGCAGACATTTAGCGGGCCCTTGTTACTTCGAGTGGCACCGTATAAACAACCACGATAATTCCTCGTCAGTCGAATCGCTACGCTTCCAAGATGTTTCGCACTTGTAACCATGAATTAAATAAAAATTAGGACATGTTAGTGACTTTAAATTAAAGTATACTACGTAATCAGCGGCAAGACCAAGATGAGATTCTCATTTCGTAAGTTAAACTTAACAACATTTAGTTAAAGATGAAATGAAATAAAACAAACTGAAATATAAATATTTCAGAATAATTTAATAATCTAAATTAACGACCTTTTTTATTACATAAATATAAGTGGTAGGAATTATATATAGCAATATCTAACATATATACTGTTGTTACTAACTATGTATTGATTCAATAATGGATCTATTAAATACCAGTTATCTAATATATACCTATATACAATCGAAATGAAGACTCAGATCGAAAGGGGTATAAATATCAGACTGGTATTGGGTGATATCGAAATAAGCGATGACCTTTTTCCCGCCATCATTGCACAGAGGATCCCGTATATACAGATATCGTAGCGGTATTTTTTCTTTTGGTGACCGATAATTTTGTTCTATCTATACAAATTATTTACTTCACTATGATACGTCAGAGCGGTTGGTATTAGTAAATTAACAACCGCTGTTTATTCTTATGGCAGTAGTTTCACTGCGTTTTTAGCCCAGCTGCTACAGGTAGCCAAATTCAGAACTTGCATGTCTTTCTAGATTTTACGTATGATTTGAAATTTAAAAATTCCTTCAGTAATCATGTAAAAGGTTTAAAGTTTAAAATGAAAGAAATACAGAAAGAAACAAACACAATTTATTGTATAAAAAAGTTATAGCCCCAAAATATACCCAATCTAATATAGCGTTAAAAATATTATTAATAGACGTTATAACCTAGGTGACTACCTTAAGATATTTATTCCTTTTACAATGTATACACAGGTAGGTATGTAAATATGTCGCGGGTATGTTTACACTTTTGACATGACGATTTTGTATCAACCGGTGTCCTGTTTCCCTCATGTTAGTGATCACCCTACCACTGCTTATTATTATGAGTAACTGTGTACACAGGACGGGTGCGCGCTGCGCGGGCGCACAGTAGCTGTTTGCGCTACCTGTGCTACGTAACTTACCTGCACTAAATCCTTATCATTCCATAAAAATACTAGAAAATCTCAAGGTAAATACTTAATATTTTAAAATCAAACAAACCGAAAGCCAAATACCAAATAAAAGTATCGTTATT